GGTCCCACATGTGACCCCCCCTCTGTCCCCCATCAGGAGCACGGAGCTGGACCTGCCGTACCCCGACCTTCAGGAGTTCATTGCCGACATGAATTTCCTCATGGCTTTGATCATCAACGGGCCCATGTAAGGAGAAGGGTCCCACCACGGGGGTGTCTTGGGGGTGTCTCACCATGGGGGTGTCTTGGGGGGTGGATAGAACATTGGGGACGGCGCCAGAGGACGTGGTGGTGGCTATGACACATGGTACTGGTGCAGCTCCCCTGTCCGTGCGTCCGTCCTTGCTCATGGTCAACCGTGTACAGGGAGGAGGGTCCAAGAGTCCCGAGCTGCGTCCCCTCATCCTGGTGGGCACCAGCCTTATGGGGCTGAATGTTCTCCCTCCTCTCCCCCAAACTGATGTCCCCTTCCCCGCCTCGGGCAGCAAATCCTTCTGCTACCGCCGGTTGCAGTACCTGAGCTCCAAGTTCCAGATGCACGTGCTGCTCAACGAGATGAAGGAGCTGGCGGCCCAGAAGAAGGTGCCCCACCGCGACTTCTACAACATCCGCAAGGTACCCCCGCTGGCTCATGGTCCTGGTTTGACCAAGGAGAGCTTGGAAGCTCTCAGGGCTGAGCATCACCTCTGGCCTTGCAGGTGGACACCCACATCCACGCCTCGTCCTGCATGAACCAGAAGCATCTCCTGCGCTTCATCAAGCGGGCCATGAAGAAGCACCTGGACGAAATTGTCCACGTGGAGAAGGGCAAGGAGCAGACGCTCAAGGAGGTCTTCGAGACGATGAACCTCACCGCTTATGACCTGAGCGTGGACACGCTGGATGTCCACGCGGTACGAGGGACAACCCCAAATCCTGGAGATGAGCAGAGCCCATCCCTGGTTGGGGTGGGGGGATCTCCAGGGGTTGTCCCAGGGTGGGGTGGGGGATGCTTGGGGGCTCTGGATAGGGGTGTGGTAGTGGCTCTGGGATGATGAGGGTTCTCAGCTCACATCTGCGTCCCCCTGCCAGGACCGCAACACCTTCCACCGATTTGACAAGTTCAACGCCAAGTACAACCCCATCGGTGAGTCCATTCTGCGGGAGATCTTCATCAAGACAGACAACCGCGTCTCGGGGAAGTACTTTGCCCACATCATCAAGGTGAGGAACCCTGATGGGTGACCCTCCACATCTCCCTCCCTCCGATGCCCGTGGTGGGACGCCAAGGGTTTCCCAGAGGCCGAGGGGTGACACTTACCCGTTCCCGGCAGGAGGTGATGTCCGACCTGGAGGAGAGCAAGTACCAAAATGCCGAGCTGCGGCTCTCCATCTATGGCCGCTCCCGGGACGAGTGGGACAAGCTGGCCCGTTGGGCCGTCAACCACCGCGTCCACTCCAACAACGTCCGCTGGCTCGTGCAGGTGCCTCGGCTCTTGTGAGTAACGGAGGGGGAGTAGATACCCTCAACCGGGGTCATGACCTGGGTGGGGAGAGACGAAGGACACCCCGCTGATGGCTGGGGTGGCGTGGGATGGGACACCCATCTCTGAGCAGGGTCCGTCCCCCCGCAGCGATGTCTACCGGACGAAGAAGCAGTTGGCCAACTTCCAGGAGATGCTGGAGAACATCTTCCTGCCCCTCTACGAGGCCACCGTCCACCCTGCCCAACACCCGGAGTTGCACCTCTTCCTGGAGCACGTGAGGACCACGTCTTGCTCCTGGGGATGGGGTTGGGGGGACACTGGTGACACCCACAACCCTCAGCCTGGACCCCCAGCTTGAGGGTTGGGGCAGATCTCCTGCTGGAGGGGTGACCATCCCACCTTGGGGTTGTCTCGCTGGCAGGTGGATGGCTTCGACAGCGTGGATGACGAATCCAAACCAGAACATCACATCTTCAACCTGGACAGCCCTTTGCCGGGCAACTGGGTGGAGGAGGACAACCCACCCTACTCCTACTACCTGTACTACATGTACGCCAACATGACGGTGCTCAACCACCTCCGAAGGTAGGGACACCTCGGGGTCCCCGGCACCTCCGCCCATCTGCGGGGGGCTCTGGGGAGGGGGTCAGATGATGATGGTCAGCCCCACGTTGCAGGAAGAGAGGCTTCCACACCTTCGTCCTGCGTCCGCACTGCGGTGAGGCCGGTCCCATCCATCACCTCGTCTCGGGCTTCATGGTCTCGGAGAACATCTCCCACGGTTTGCTGCTCCGCAAGGTCAGGAGGGATGGGGGTGCCCGTGGGGGCTGGGGACGTGGCTGGGGACCCCCCTCCACCTCACCCCTCTGTCCCATGTGTGTGTGTCCCCCCCCCAGGCCCCCGTCCTGCAGTACCTCTACTACCTGGCGCAGATCGGCATCGCCATGTCCCCGCTGAGCAACAACC